ACAATTAAAAATACAAACAAGCAAAAATTAAGTCTTCATCTTAGCTGAACTGAATATTTAGGCTATTCTGAACCATACTTTTGATATGAGCTGGTAGTTTGCATTCAGTGCATCATAGTAAGGTACTACTTACTTTAAGCATTTGCAGCAGAATTTGCTTCATGTGATATTAAATATTACTAATGCAAACAGCAACATGTTCTGAGATTTAGGTTGATAGCTGCACAAGATGTTAAGAATTGGTCCTTTTTTTCCTTATAGTGTTTTTACACTCCTGATTCATACATTGGCATTCTCTGGCCCTTCACAGAATTAGTCAAATAATCCACTGTGAAAAAAAGTAGTTCAGCAAATGTGCTCCTCTTCCTGTCACTCAGGCACAAGTTAGTTCTCCTCCCATGTTCATAAAGATTTACTGAGTAATTTATGCAGTTAAATACCATCTTTTGTGTTTTTAGTGATTGCACACTTCAGGTACTTAATAGTCTGACAATTTGATGTCTTTGTAATGACATAAAGCGTGTTTTTTCTTTTCCTGTGTTGAGGTATGGTAGCCCTGGCCTTGCACTTTTTAAGTATGCTACAAGGCTGAACAAATTCCTTTTAATTTCTGTATAGATTGTTGGATGAAACCATACTAAAACTTTGAGGCATTTCGATTTTGTTAATAACATGGATTAAATGATCCCATTGATTTAAGTAATACAAATTAAATGTGATCCAAAAGAAATGCAGTAAAGTATGCTATCTCAGTTCGCAGCAATGCTAAAAATCTTTATACTGAGTGATTTGGCATTTCCTCAGTCTCCCAGTCTGCAAAATTATCTGTAAAAACACAAACTATCAATGGTGTTCATTAAGATTTAAATGAAAACCTTCTAATTCTAAGGATTTTTGTTGGTGGTGATAATTTTGATACATTGCCATTGATAAGTGCTACTTAATAAAGCATCACTAATTTTCTCCACAGATTTTGCTGATGGACGCTGTTTTTCTGCGAAATTTAACATACTATCATAAAACTTCATAAAACTGAAAACCATGTTCATAAGCCCAAAAGATTCTTTTGCTTTCCATCACAGTTCGGCTGTCATGTGATATTTCAATATATTATTATCTGAAAATATTTTTAAAGAATTTTTAAGTCATTTTTTTAAAGAAAAATAAACCAAGATTATATAAAAATGTATTGCATTTTGGTGTGGAGAATATTTTGCAGAATAATGAAGAATTTCAGGGCAAGCATTAAAGGTGCATGATACTGTGAGTGTGTGTGGAATTTATTCTCAGTCTTCCTACAATTCAGCTCACAATGTCAAAAGACAATATTTGGCATTCCACACTGTTATCAGGAAAGCTCTAGATAGTTTATTGCACATTGATTGTATTGATTACAGCTGGAGGCATTGATAGCATAAATAGAATGTCTTTAATTAGTCAGAATGTGTGATTAACATTTCTGTTTTAAGGAGATAAACTAGCTTCTTCAATAAGTTCTCCAAAAAGTATATTCTTTTTCAATCAGAATAAACCCACAATAAACACAAAGAGGCCACAGTCTGTGTTTCTCAGAATAATGCCAGTTGTCTCCAGGCTGGGCCTTGACCTTTAGCCAAGGTTTAACAAATTTTTCAAGATGTTTTATTAAAACTAACTCAGACCCTCTGTCTCACAGATACACACACAAACATACTTTAGTTGCTTCCTAAAAGCAACTGCAGATTTCGTTGTGGAAAAATCTGTTGTGCCTGCTAGACTCCAGCATCTGTCAGAATTACACTGCAAACTCACTTATTCTCTACTGCAATTTGGCTAAGAAGATTTCAGCACAGATGAGATTTTTTTAAAAATTTCTTTTCAAGATTTTAGGAAAGGTTAATTTAGACATTGCTAGCTAACTTGTGGAAGGGATAAACGATTTTTAACATATATTGTGTAAAATGTTTTAACCTTAAAAGTAATATTAAGTCAACAATGAAACCCTAATACAGTAATGTTTTGATTACTTGTCTTGGTGAGTGAGGCTTGAATGGTAAAACTATTTGTTTTTCTTGGACACTGAGAGAAAAAAACATGATCTGAATCTAGACTGCCTCAGTAGGAAATACTGAACTAGCCAATTCATCTCTGTTGCCTCTATCATATATAAAAACTCCTTTACCTCACTTTAGAACATCAAAATCCCTATATCTTACCCTTGGACCTCCTAGAGAGAATAGTCATTCATCTCCTAAACCAGGTGCATCAAAATAAATACAAAGATGAAACTGAACAACTCCTTTACACAAGAAATTACTCCAATAAATGAAGACAAAATCAAAGATAAAATCACCCAGCTAGTCACAAATCATCCCGTCTCTGATTTCCCAGACTTGATATTTCAGGCAGATCTTCCAGAGATGAGACTTTAAACTAAAATTCATCAATTTCCTGAATAATAAGAACTATTAATTTAGCAGAAATACTGGTTTGACGATACATTATTACCTCACTCCCTCAATGCTCTCTAAATGAATTGCCTCTGTCTTTTCCATTGCAAGTAATTGCCTTATTATCCTTATTTCCCTCTTACTAACATCATCTCTGTTTTACAGGCATGAACTATTTTCTTTAGAAATTCTACGATACATGTTTTATATGAAAAACTCGTATCTCTAAACTCTTCTGTTTTGTGCCAGACCGGTAGAACTGCATATGTACTCTAAAATTTCTTTACTCTTGTAACTCTATTTGTTGGTCAGACTGAGATAATTCTCTTTAGAAGCAAGCACTGTCTTTCCTCCATCCTTGCACCACTTTGTGTTTCAGTGCAATTGTAGAGAATCGGGTACGTGATGATGCTTTGTACTCCCAGACCACATCCTATGTGGTCAGATTCCAGTGTTAGGCTTGTGCTGGCTGATTCTGAGGCAGATCAAACCACACATGCAAGTGACAGAAATGGAAAATACATTCTTCCATGCCACTGGATGTCAGTATGCATTTAGCTGTTATTCCTAAAAACTTCTGAAGCTTTGGTGTCAACAAAGCCTTTGGCTGTATTCAGGGAATGCAGATATGGTGCACTGACAGAGAGCTAATAATGAGAAGTCTAGGCAAGCATATTGCTGTGTGCATTAGTTGTACCAGGTCTCACTGGCATTAGCTGAACAGCAGAAGAGGAGAAGGATTGGTTGTGAAGTTGGCCGTATATGTGAAAATAATACGATGGTGTAAAAAAATTTTGACGTATGTTTTTTACATTTTGAAATGATGGAAAATTCAATATCTCCTCCTTTAAATCTGCTATACTACTTGCTGGATTTCTACACCAGCAGTTCTGTTTCCTGAGGCGGAAAATTAGTTTTTTCCTTTTTGACTGCAAACAGATAGGTGGTTGTCCCCTGATTCACCCCAGATTATGCGTACATGCCAACAGGAGATGATGTGGAATCAATAACAGGTCCAGAAGTAGCAGAAAAACTAACCAAAAAAAAAAAAAAGCAGTTGGCATATTTTAGCAATTACACCAGATGACTGAGCCTTGCCAGATTCCTCTGACAGAAGTAACACATGCATGAGATCGTGACAGCTTTTCAGAAAGCAGAAGTGCGTTACCTTTTTCCTTGGTGTTGGACAATTGAGTTGAGACAATTACAGTCTGGCAGTGCTACGAAAGCTGCCAAGCTTTGGAAAAATTCATCCCCTTTAGACAAAGCCATGGATGTTGAAGTTCCCTCTACAGCTCTGGCTAATCTCCCTGGCCTCTGGCACAAGTTCACATGCATAACATTTTTGTGCCAGTTGTTGGAACAGCCATGGCCAGACATAAGTTGGATCAACCCCTAGACAAGTTTAATTTACTCTTTAGAGCTGCAGTGCTCTCATAAGCATGAAGCAAACATATAGGAATTTATCCCCTTCCATTCTTCTTGCCTTGCAGTGAAATAGGTTGGTCAAAAAGAGTGGATCTGGTTCTATCAAGATGAGATGATTCACTGAGGTCCCTTGAATTCTGTGTTCAAGTGTTGACTTGCAGTATTTAGTCTAGTTAATGATTATATGGAAGCCTTAATGTGTTACAGATCTTTACTGCTGAAGAGGAGAGACAAGAAGGAAACATCAGCTATGCAGAGTGTGCAGAGATTAGCTTCATATGTGAGAAGAATTGCAAGACATGGCCACCTGCAAAAGGAATGTCTTAAATTGTGACTTAGATGTGTCCTTCCAGGGCACTCTTTCTCTGATTGATAACATAATATGAGTGACTTTGTCACTGAACTGCACTTCAGTTTGCAATAAAAAACAGACAACAATAACAATAAAAAAAACTGTTCTGTTTTCCTTTCTCTGAGCTGTAACAATCAAAGACAGTGTTCCATAAAGTGATGTATGTGAAATGACCATTGAACTTTGCATGAATGTATGATAACATGAAAATCATTTTTAAAAGCTATCACAGTAGTTTCCTTGAGAGACAAAAATTGTCCATTAAGTTGAAGAGGTGAAGAAAGTACTCTCTTCTCTATGACAAAGGTCCCATCAAAATTTTTTTCTTTACAGAAGTGAAATAGATATGTAACAGCTGCAATGAATCATGTTATGCTCTATAACAAATTTTTCGGTATAACATACATTTTGTAGCAATAAGAAATTGTTATAAAGAATTATTTATAATGTGTTTACCTAACAATGCTTTTTCCCATATCAATCCAATGTTTCCTCTTTAGAAAACTGTTAGTGGCATCCATTTCATGTCTAAGCTCAGCTCTAACTCACCAACCATCCAGACAGGGAATGATGCACCACTTACTGTGTTACCCTATTACAGGGTCTTAATATTTAGTAATTGTATTAAATGTAAAGTTTATTTTTTGATAATAAAATCTAGCTTGATTTTGTTTCTGCACACTTGACAACATGTGATTTACTTTCCATATTTTTTAATAATCAAAAAAATTAGAGCTATTAGAAACATAAACTGTGCTTTTATGAATGATATTTTGATTTGTATTTTTCAGGGACTGGTCGAATGTGTTCAGTCCCCCCATCATTCCTGGAAGCCAACAACTGGAAGAGCACACTAAATCTTCAATAAAACAGAATATTCAAGGTAGGAATTTGTAAAGAAAATGAGAAGAACCTGGATAGAAAAACATTTCTAAATTTTTTTTCTGCGATGCCGGGGCTGCCTTTTCATAGTTTTCTGTAGATTTTAGTTTCAAGTTCTCTTATTTATTATGCTCAGCTCAAGCTAACAGAGTTTTCCATGCAGTATTATTTGCCTCTGCTAGAATAACATGCAGTTGCAGTTTCCTAATGTTCTGGCACTACACACATTAACTCATAAAAAATGCATCTTATTTGTTTAAAATAAGGAATTTATGCTAATGGGGATGGCAAACCTACATAAGAAAGAACACAAAGACTAAACATTCTTATTCAGAGGCACAATTATACTTGCATAAGAGACACTTCTCTTATGAAGAAAAATTTCAAATTTACCCTTAAATGAAATCTTAGAGTGATTTCCTGAGGACTGTTGCCACCAGTGTTACAGGCTTTTGTTTGTTAATGGTATTTGCTCAGAGAATGGCAAAGAACTTAACAGAAACCGGAAAGTCAACAACAGAATAAAGACAATACCTTGTTTTCTTCAAATGCCTTTTTTTCTTACTAGCTATCTTAGGAAAAAGGGTAGAGTTATCATCACAGAGTCACCATATAAATGGTTTGGGCTGAAAGGGACCTCAAAGACCATCCAGTTCCAACCCCCCTACCATGGACAGGGACACCTTCCACTAACTAGACCAGGCTGCTCAAAGTCCCATCCAACCTGGCCTTGAACACTTCCAGGGTAGACATCTACATTTTGCTTCAAGTCTCAGGAATTAGTTGTGAACTCTCATAAATCTGCCCCATGTATTTTGGCTGCCTGAGGGGTAAAGATGTCTCAGTGCTTTACTGTCAGAAATAAGTAACGCCCCTCAAATTGGGAATATTTTCACAGACATATATTTGTAATTGTTTATGACAACAAAAGAGAATTTTGCTGTCAGGAAGGGACCTTGCTTTGAAAAATCAAGTACTATGTTGTGTTAAGGGTCCTAAATAAGCCAAAGAGAACTGGACAGTAATCCTTGAGTTAAAGGCACGTTGGATAAAAATTTCTGATAGGCCCTGTAGAACTTTTTTATGTTTGTATTGTGAAATCCAAGCCTTGCTGCAGTAAAGCTATAATTTTTGTAAATTTTAAAAATTGTGTTATTATATTTAAAAAGCTTTAAAAAAGAAGTCTAATTGGGAATTTGTATTTCTCCTGTTATTCACACTAGGATTTTCAAACTGTTTTGTAAATTGCTCCTAAACTATTTTCCTTTAAGCTGAAATATTTTACGTCATGTGCCTGTGATTGCACAGTTGGAGAACAGAAAATGTCTATATAAAATAGCTTTTTATTTAGGCTTTTATTTTTGTGCCTTTATTCAGTCAAATTCTGACTCATGTATGTATAATTTTTGTAATTTTGAAAACTTCATACAGAAACTTTTCTATCTGATAATAATAACATAATAATAACCATGCAGTTATTTGTACATTCATTTCAGAGTTCAGAAAAAGCTGCCACATGCCTGCCCTGTTCTTTGTTATCTGGGTTTAGACATCTTGATCAAGCCTTTCTCCAGAAAAACAGTAGCTCCCCTGATTTTAGTGGGACAGCATTTCATTTAATATGACAGGTATTTGCTGAGACTACTTACCTTCATCCTTCTTTCAGCTCAGAACAAAAAAATACTCAACCCTCTCTAATGTATATCACAGACCTTAGTTTTCATTTAAAATCAAGGTATTTTCTCACCTAAAATACCATTTAATTTTGTAGTGATTTAGGAACAAAAGCCTTGATTCTGCTTTAACCATGATATGCAAATTAAACTGCCAAGAGGTTTTCTCATGCAATTCAACCCCAAAAGTGTGGGTGGTAGCAGCATAAACAGCTATGGAAATTTTCTTTGAAGGCAACCTGGTTATCAATTATTGTGGCCGTGGGCACTTCATTCCTACATGTGGTCAGGTTACAAACAATGTACCACTCGAAATCAGAAGGATTCCTTCTAACACAGCCGCTACACATTACTTGGGGTTTTTAGAAGAATATCACTTGTTTTAAGTAGTACTTTTATTTAGGAAGAAGAACAGAAGTGAGGGTTTCATGTGTCTATTCAAAATTGAATACTCCATGCTGCTTTTGGAAATTTGTTGCAACACCTAGAAATGCCTTGAAGTGCATTTGGGGGCCTTGTGAGATGCTAAAAGAAAGGAGCCTAACTTTAAAAACAAGATACGTCCAGAAAACTTTCTCTTCTTGATCACGTGGTGACCAATAATTCACATGCAGGGAATTATTGCTATAAAGGTATAAATCCAGCTAGTCCTGGATGCAGTATAATTCTGATGTGATATGAATTCAAGGCACAGAGGGAAAGAGGTATTCTCCTGATGAGTCTGAAGAATTTCTTATTCCTAACTCAAACCAGGGAGTATATTGAGGGGCCAGTTCTAAGGTAAAGGGGGAGGGAGATTTAAGCTTAGAGGTGAAAACAGAATCATTTTGAAGAGAAGCATAGGCAGTGAAAAGCAAAATAATAAAAGGAAGAATGCAGTGAAAATAACAATGTGGTTTCCGGTGAAATTGTAATGCTGTGTGAGAGAGTGAGGCATGAACACCATTTCCTTGTGTACTGTGATATGAAGCAGAGAAAAAACATTCAGTTCTTTGCCTTCTTTCAGCGTTGCAGAATTTTCCCAGGAGCTATCCAAACAAAATACCTCAGTTAACCTCATTTAACTTCCCAGGCCTGATGAAGCACCCACAGCAGGGAGGGCATCAATTTGGCTTTACCTTCTTACCTTTGGTTACATTAAAAGACAGTTTCTTTCTGGTGATATTTGTTCATGCTACTAAGGAAATAAAAATGAAATCTCTTCTGAAGCGATAAAGCTCACACTTTGGTATGCATCAAATGCACCAGCCTACTTTCTGGTCTCCAGATAATGTAACCTATATATCGTTGTGTGATCCTGGCTGTAAATAGACTCTGAGCATTCTGAAACTGCTGCTGTTCACATAACAGGCCATTACTTATTATGAAGTGTTAGGGCATACAAAGCATTCAGTTGGTATTAGCAGCCTGAGAATGGGATGAACATTTATGGTGAAATGCAAGATACAAATTGCATTCAGCTGTGAATTATTTCCTATCAAAAAGGTATACATCATAAAACTTAGATTTAGCTTATATGAAAGGCAGACAGGCTCAGAAAAGAAGCTACAATGTATAAAGCATCTGCAATAAAAGTCTGTATGGCTTTATCAGTGTGTTTTAGGCTAAAGATTCAATTTTGTTACCTGAAAACATTCTTGAATTTCATATAACTTTAGAAAACCTAGATTTAAAATTTTTATTGTCTGGAAGAATCTTATTTCCTCTCTGATATTGAAAACTCTTTTGTACAGATTTACCTATACTGGATATTTAGGTGACATATTGAATACCAGACATTCAAATTCTTTCATTCTTACAGGCCTTAAGTACGCACTGCCTTTGTTCAAGTTAAAAAATTATTAAGGTTATTGAGGAAAATATCACTTAGAAATACTTTGATCCACTATTAGTAAAGGTACTTCTGGTGAACTGCTTCATTGGACTTCGAAAAGTCCAGTCGTTGAGCGAACTCCAACTGACATCATTTCACCTCAGCTAAATACAAGTCCTCAGAAATATAATAAAAATGTGAATTGCTGTTATCTTGAAGGAAACAATTCAGAAGTCAGAAGATTACACACTTTAAAGAAAAAAAATCTCTCACATCTGACAGAAAGGTATTTCCATGATATTTTCTGAGGGAATAGGAGTGATTTATTCTTACGTTTTCCACTTCATGCAGGTGAAGATGACTTCAGTGCTGAAGAAGACGAGGAAGGTTTGACTCTTCTGTATGATCCATGCCTGTACCGTTACTTTGATCCAAATTCTGGGAAGTACTATGAATTGGCATAGTCAGAACATGAGAGGATCTCATTTTATATTCAGAGTATCTTTTAACTTCTTGCAAAACATGACTGAGTATAATTTATTACCTAACTTAAAACTTAAATTAAACAATAGTTTTGCAACCAAATTGATATATTTTGTAAACAGTGTCTTATTTTTATAGTTTTGTATGAAGTTGTAATGCAGTGGAAAATTACATAACATAAATGTTCTTTGTGTCTAGGACAGTTAATTGTTAGTCTAATTTATTTCCAATATTCACAGCTTCCATATGAAAACAAATGAATCTGAATCAAGAAGGTTAGTGGTATTTGTAAATTATGGTTTTACTCAAATAAAAAAAAAATTAATTACTTGCTTATGCTTACTTCATTGGTGTGAGCTATCTTATTCTGTAAGATATACAGTGTGTTGTTTACGGGCTTCCATTTCATAAGCTCACTTTCTCCTTTTAGTCATCAGAGAAAGCAGCATTTTCCTCATCTTCAAGAAATTCTCTGCTGTTGCACGTTACAGTGATGGGGTGATGTCAGAGAGGGGGTGGTGCTGTGTGTACAGAGCCGAGCACTTCGGGGTCTGTGTTCACATGAAAATGAAATCATTACATGAAATTAACAAAATACTGCACAGGTATTATATTTGTTTTATTTTTTCACTTATTTATTACTATGCATGAATCCTGTGTACTGCACTTTGCTCTAAAATCCAGTTACCCTGACCCTGGTGTCTGTGCATTGCCATGGCTGCTACTTGGCTCCAAGCAGTGCCTGACATTTGCAGCCCCAGAGCAAGTGCAGTGCTGTTGCCAATAGCATCCCCCCAACCAACAGGACACTTGCCTAAAGGGTAAATAAATCTTTACAAAATCAGCTGCCAGGTATTGAAAAAAGGTGTCAGGCAGGGGTTGCCTATGAAAGAAGTCCAAGGAGTTGTGTTGTAATGGAGTTGATTTAGTGGAACAGCTTTGGAGTCCACCTAACACTTTCTTTGGAGACAACGGAAGAGAATGTGAAAATCACATGGCAAAACTGATCTATAGGCATTTCTGGAGATTCTTGTTCTAAGTTTCTACTTGATTATATCCAGTGCTATTCCACTGTAATTATTTGCAAGTTGACTACTCAGTGAATTTTTAAGAATAATGTATTTGAATGTCATAAAGTGAGCTTAGTAAGCTCACTGGCAAGTGATTTAAAATTATATGTCTGTAAATTATATGTAATTATGGATCCCAGTTAATGAATATCCTAGAATCAATTGGAAATGCAGTTGGTAATAGTGACTTGGCATAAGATCAGACTGTGTATTTGGCTCTGTGGTAGGTACAAACATATCATCACAAATTGATTCAAGTAAGAGTAGCACTGAAATCCACAGGAAGACAGATACTGTGCTGAGATAATTTACTTACCCAGCCTTAGCCAGAAAGATTTGTCCCTGTTCTTGCTAATGCCATAATCAGTTTAAAAGTTCAATGAAATCATAATTTTGACCTTCAAAAAACAGATGCTGGCTTGTACATGCTTGTGCATATCTAACCACTTTCTTTTTGGCATCATTTAGTGATAAGGGACCACACTCCCTCTATCTGTGGCAAGGGCTATTTAAAATATGTTGTTAATTTTCTTTCCATAGCCACGTGTCTCACAGGAGTGGTTGGATGTCCTAGAGCACCACTGTGAGTCCAGACTGGATCACTGCTGCTACTGAGCTGCTCACTTGGAAGAAAAAGAAAAAAGAAACAACTATATACTGGCTGCAAACTGGTGTCAGATGGATTGTCAGCCAATGCCTGTCTGTGTAGATATGCTTGTCCTGGCTTCGCAGTAGGCAGTCACATACAGAAGTGTACCAGTGGGCATCCAAAGCTTGGGCAAAAGGAAGTCCTTGGAGACTCCACACGCTTATCCCCACCTTTAATGGGATAAGGAGTCAGGTAGGCAGCAACAGTAGGTTCAGGGTGAGTCTGTTATTCCAAAGAGGTTCACAGTCAAGTCCAGATACACTGTTTTCTTGTCATTAGCACGGTAGTATTTTATAGGTAAGCAGGTAGTATCCTGCTTTTCAAACTCAGCAGTTTGGGATCCTTGCCCTTTGTGTTCTAGTTAGCAGCTTTATGTCTTCAGCATCCGTGGGGATTGATTGCCATGATGCTGTGAACAACACCTGTGAGTTGAGCAGCTCAAAAGGGCTCTGAGTTTTCCTCACCATGTTTTTCTTAATCATCATCCTGTGAACCCAGAACTAAAACACTGCTGACACACAGTGGGCTTTTTGTTGAGCCAATTTGTCAAAGCCAGCAGTTATGGCAAGTGATGAGGACCACAGAGATTTGCTCCTAGCAGTCATGTCCAATGTTTAGCCCATGAGAATCACATAGTTCTCACTGGAGCGTGCTTTCCAACAGGTGAAAAGACCTATGTCTGGGCATAAAGTTTCAGGTTAATGAAACTGCAGGGATTTATTTCTACAGACCCAGCATCAGTTATGATTTTTGCGAACAGAAATTTTGAAATGCAATAAATTTTAGTAAGCATTCATTAACATTTCTTGGGTCTGCATTTAAAATAGAGGAATTGAATTTAGAGTTCCTGGAGTCAGCAGATCACAAGTCAATCAGTTGGTCTCTCAGGCCTTTCTATGTTCCTTACACACGTGAGGTGTGACAGACATCTCTGCTTTGTTTCTACTTGCTAAAAAAACACAGCCAGCCAGCTTTCAGATGGTTCAGAAGGAAGAAGGAATCTTTAAAACACTTTTTGCTGTTTTAAACCACAACCCAGAGCAGTGTGTTTCTATGTTGCTGGAATGATTCTCCCCATTTCTCATTGTTTTTCCCTTAGGTTTTCTCTGAAATCCAACCAAATAACCAGGTTTCAGCCTTCAGATCTCTGTGGACACCTGGAGCACTGAGGTGTAGGTCAGTGACAACCTGGTGCCTGTGAGCACCCATGTGGATTCCTCCAAGCAGCTGCCAGGATTTTAATCTTGCAGTACCCAAGTGTTGTCTGTACGTCCGAACCTCATTATACCAAACAAAGAACACACTGTGTCCTAAGGAGCTTACAGTAGGAAATCAATATTGATTTTTCTTCTCTGCTGCCGTGGTTACTAGGTGAGAAAATATGAAAAGTCATGCTTTATTATTCACATATTCTTCAGCCAGAAAGTGTTCTCTTCAGCAGCACATCCTCTAAACACTGAGTCGAATGGCAAGGATCCACAGCCTGAAAAATCCATGAAGATAATTTTGCATAATGAATTTCACATTCAACTTATTTTTCCATGGTATTTCTTCCTTTCAGAAAAGGGCTTATTTTTTTAAGCAATGGGCTAAATGTAAAGTGAAAAGACAATCCAGCCTGTCTTTTCTATGTGGTATTGCTGATAATCACCACTTTTCTCATGGTTACTATAGTAACTTCGCATCCTTATCTGCCACCTTTTTTGGCACCTTCAAGAAAACTATTTAAATTGAGTTCCCTGATAAAGTGAAAGCTTGGCTTCATGATACCCATGGGAATATGTAAGTGTAACAACAATATTTATATTTTTTTCTTATTTGGTGTTTAACTTGCTTATTAACAGCTGTACAGGTATTTCTAGCTGTGATGTTTTGGGATCCTGCTGCAGGCATTATAACCAGCACAAATGCAAAAGCCCTGGATGAAACCCCAGAAACAACTGTGAGCTCCCAAGGGCTCACATGCAGCAGCCCAGAATGCAAAGACCTGAGTAGGATTTTGCTCTTATCACACTACTCTAAAGGCAGTTCTGTTTCCAAGTTTGACATTTTCAAGGAGACAAATAATCTGTGGGCATTAAACTACATGGTAAGAATTATTATTAAGCTTCCTGGGGTAAATCAGTGTTGAATCAACAGCCTTGTGATGCTTTTAATCCCTTTCCAAGTATGTGCCATCCAGTCTGCATGGCAGATGAGAGTGGACTTGGGTTGGGGATGCTGAGGAACTGAGAGAGATTTTTGGAGGTGAGTCAAAGGCCAATGCAAAAACCAGATGCCCCAGATGAGCACGGCTCCCCAGCAGTTCCACCTCTTTTTCTGTCCTAAGGGCACCAAAATGGTGCTTGTGATAAAGGTTGTTTTTCTAATTCTGTCAAAATGTGGCCCAGATAAATCCCTCTGCTTATGCAGCCCCTGTGCCAGTGTCCTTGAAGATTCCTACACAGAAGTACCCTCAGCCCTGGAAGAGAAAGGAGATGTTGACACCTGAACAGCTGCTGTTGGCTCCTGGCCATCAGGCACAATGGTCCAGTGTGGGCTGCAGAGGGGCAGAACATTTTGCTGAAGGCAAAGCACTCAGTGATCCATCCCTGTGGCTGTGACATCTTCAGCAGATCTCTGGCTTTTAATTCATTATCATGTTCTTTCCCCAGGAGTTTTGAAGAGCACACAGGTTTGAAAGATACATAGTAACAAAACAACAGAGGAAAAATGCTATCAAGAGCCATTAAATGAAAAGCAATTTTCCTTTTGTAGCATGGCTGGAGTGCTCCTGGGGAATAACACTGTGTCCTCATCCCACTCCTTACAGATACCCTCCCCTGGCCACTGCCAGAGAAGAGATACAGGCTATGCTAATAGTGAGTCCTCTGCACTGACCCACACAGCCACAGTAAAATACTTCTCATAAGGAAAACCAGCCGGGCTCCCAGTACAACTGTTACCACACTGCTAGTGCTAGTGTACTTCAAAAAATGTTTACATTACACTGCGTAGGGTCTTTTTCTGAGAAAAAGTTTTTTATGGGATGATTGTGCATTTTATCTGCGTGGGAGACCAAAAAACCTTAGGTCACAGAAATTACTAACATTTTAGAGCACTGCATATTTATTAGGCCATCTGCTGCTGCAGCGCTCAAGGCAGAAACCTTAGTACAGGCAATCTATTCTCAGCTACTGTTTTACCACCTGATGTGCAAAATATCAAAGCTCTAGATGCATTTATTATATTATTACTGAGTAATTTTCTAATGAATTCGTAAAGCTCAGGAAACATTCCGCGCAAGAGTTTCCTGTACATTAGGCTGCTATTTTCTCACTGGGGCGTGAGAGAAGCCTCTGAGGAGGAATCCCATCGTGTCAAAAGGTTTGTTGTGCCGAAAACGCAGCTGGGTGGCTCTGCATTTTATTATTCAATCCTCAGTAAGATGGATTCCTGCTAGAGGGTCTGGCACATACCTGTACATTTCCTGTGTATCTATATGAAGCCCAAATTAAAATAGCTGCTGTTTTTAAAAAAAAAAAAAAAAGGAACTTTTCAGAAACAGCAAGTTCCAACATAGCATTAATGCCTGGGCAAGCTGCGTTATGTTCATAAGACTACCAGAAGTTGATCCAGCTTTTGGGTTTCCTCAGTGTCCTTTCTAGTAACTGGAGAGCCTCCATGATGGAGTGTGAACCAAGAGGACAGGTTCCTGCTCTGAAATGTTGGTATGGTAACGTGCAGTCATGCCATCTATATGCAGACTTCCTTGCATGAGGCTGTCCATTGTGCTGCTAGGACTGGGCAGAGAAAAACAGGAATGGACAGGGGCCTGTGGGAGAGTTTGAACACCCATGAATGGCTCCTGCCATCCTCAGTGAGTTGCTGGTTCTCTGCAGTGCCACGTGGTTCCCCGAATGCATCAAGGGTCCCAGGGTACCCAACCCCAGCACTGCTTTCTCTGGGGTGATACTGAAGGGGCCAGAGCTAAACATTCTCCCTGTGAGACCCCCAGACACAAGCCCAGAGCAATGTGTCCTGAGCAGCAACAAGAGGTGTTATTTGGAGGGATGTGTTTCATACAAGGAACAGACCCTTACCCTGTGCATACTTAGAGCAAGGCTGAGACTCTACATTTGACCTAGTGCAGAACATGGAGAATCCTCCATCTTTGGCTGAAACATCTTCATCCTTCCCATGGGTGTCTGCCGCGGCAGCAGAGCTGGGGGTGCTGAGGGCCTGGCAGCTGTTGTGCCACTGACACATCACTCTACAGTGCCCTGATCACTTGCAGTGCATTAAACCTTATTTAATATGATCTATAAATCCTCTTGTGCCAATAGAAGGAAATGTCTGATTGTCTGTAAGGTGCTCAAAGGACTCATCTTTTACTGATATCTTCTGTTAATTTCCAGCTCGTGAGCAAACCAACACACGGCAGGTGCTGAGACACCCGAGAGAAGCATGTCGGCTCTCATCGATCCATCATCCCATCTCCTGCTGCCACTTCCCTTCCAGAGCCACCTGAGAGTTACACATGCACAGACAGAAGGTATTTAAGGTATTTACACCTTCCTCTGAGTGAAACAGGGGGCTTGGTATTACTCAATTCACTGATCATGTTGAAGGTAATCATGGGAATGCTTTGCCACTGTTACAGTTTAAAGATGCGTTGTTTAAATGGGAATGAGATATCTGTAGTCAGATTTACAGCTGGAGTTGTAACAACCCCAGTTGTAACAATCACCGTCCTGGTGATGCTGAGCCACAGCAGCGTTACTGTTGCTCGTGGCAGGAACCGTGCTCAGCCCCAGCACAGCTGGTGGCCCCGGGGAGCTGCTGTCCCAGCCTCACTCCCTGGGACACACTGTACCCCTGCTGGGGCTCTGCTGGCTCAGAACCCATCCATGTGCACCCAGGGGCACCCAGAGCCCAGAAAACCTTGGCCAAAGACATGCAGGACCCTGCATAAATGACTGGGGTGCATCCAGAGCCACCCTGTGAAATAAGGATAACAGGGCTAATTTATGAATTTGCTTTCCCTTGCTGGTCCTGTGACATCTCCAACTCTGCAGTCCTCTCAGCAATAAACTCAGTGCCATGAGATTAAAACATACAACTACATGACACATTATAAACTACATAAATATTAACTGGCAAGGCCCTGTAACAATGAAGGATTTTGCACAAAATCTTCAGGCACTAATTCAGTCTCAAGGCTCTCTTTCCACTGCAGTGGGTATGCAGTGCCATTATGAAACCTTGACTGAATTATAACCCTTTATTCTTCTAAGGCATCTCTTTTTCCTATCTTCAACAAGGTTTTATTTTGACCCAATCATGAACATAAAAAGCATAAGAAATACAAATTCACTTAGTGATAGATTTGTTTTCTCTGTAAAAAATGTGTGTCATCATGATGCTAGGAAAACAGCTATTAACTTGGAGGTTATTTTAAAGCTAATGGATAATTACTATACTGTGGAATTTTTTTTCCCAGTGAAGAGATTAGTTTGCTGAATGGTCCCTTTCCATTTGCAGTGCTGATGCTTCTCTTCCCCTACATTAACATGTTACCAGATGTTATCAGAACAAATGGCTGTGCTTTTGGCTTTGAATTTCTCTTCCACATTTTTGACAATTGTTTTCAATATCTTGCATAAATAACTGTAACACTTGATAAAATCAAGCATATTCAATGCCTGTGAATAGTTAACTTACTGTTTCTCCTGTATGCAGAAGCCCATAACTATATTTTAAAGCAGTTAAAGTCTTTTATCAAGCACGTGTGTTGGCAGATTTTTGTAGCTGGATCACTCAACATACTCTAGCAGCTCTTAAGCAGCTCTCACACACTATCATGTAAATCCTCCTTAATTCACGGTTTATTGACCACAGTGGTTCTGGATGAGTATTTGATGCCCATCCTGTGGGCAGTGTGCCACCTGCTGCCACGTCACCATGGAAATTCCCAAAGTTCCTCTTGAAAAACCAATCCATGTGTTGCAGACCATCACTGCTTCCATAAGGAAACCAAGCTGGAGAGGTCGTGATGTTTGCAGTGGGTTGATGAATGGAATAGCCCACAGCCAAGCAGACAGGAGCCCCTTGATCCTGGTGACACCCTACAAGCTCATGGAAAAAGCCCGTCTTGTGTGGGACAAGGGAGCAGGAGCACCCAATCCCCATGAGCAGGAGGGTCAGATCCTGGTGAGATGGGAGGTGACACCCAGGACTTTGGGACATTTATGGCCAGTCCCACAGCACCCATGTCTGCAAACCTCTTGGGTGTCCCAAACCAGTGTATAGCAACACACAGGACACCATTTCTTCAGTGCAATCTGCAGTCAGTGTGAGTGGAAGGGGGTTATTTTGCTCCTTTTAGGGACTGATTTATGACTTGTTTACTTGTATGCCTCACCCACACTGCTAATGTTGTAATTAAACCTTGTTAAATTGTTCAGGTCCCCCTCAGGCATGTGTTGTAACATACTTTTTCCCCCCTGAACAATAATTATTATACTGGGGGGGAAAAAACCCTGGGTGGTGAAGAAGGGTGTCAGACAGGCTTACTTATAATAAATACCTGTTTAGCAGGCAGAGGATGTTTAGTCCTAAATCAGATTGTATATTAAAAGTGGAAATTGCTGAGATTGGTGTTTACCTGTGAAACCAAAATTACTTCATGAAGACAATAATTATAGATGCAGGCTCTCTAAAAAAGTAGTTGTAAGCCTTTATTAAATAGTTAAAATCAAGATGCTGCTGTGAAGCACAGCATCAGCACATCTTGCGTGGGTTGCCTTGGAGAGAGCTGTGAGCTGTGTGTGTACATACCCCACGGAGCTCTATCCCAGAGTTTTCCAGTGCACTGCAATGTTTTCTAGGAGATAAACCTCATGAAGTAATATTAAACCAGGTGAAACAGGGCACAAGGGAGGAATCTTATTACCAGAAAAGGCTGATGAGTTCAGGGAATTAGTAGGGGAAAAATTGAAATTTATATTAATAATAGTCATTTATTACCTGTAACAAGGCAACAAACACCCTGATTAGCAGGTACACAGGCACAGTGGCTGCAGTGCCCGTTTTGCAGAAGCCCCTCCCCTGATTCTAAAGCAGCTTCAGTTCAGTTTAACTCAGTGCTGGATTCACTAAGGGACTTCTCTTTCGAGGCAGGTCCAGCAGTTATTACCAGGAGAAAGTATCTATACATTGGTGTTGCTCAGCTGGGTGTGTGTGAGCGCCAGTGGGTCAGGCAGGAGAGCCCTGGGGTGCTCTGGGGAGCTGCTCTGCATGTGCAGCACCAGAGAGGTGTTGGTGGCCGGGTGGCAGCTGACAGGTGGTTTGGTGGGAAGCCAGTGCACTGGGTGATGATGCACCTCCACAGCCAGGGCCAACAGCCTCGGTGCAAACAGTGCTGCTCCCCAGCACACACCCTTGATGTGTTGGACAGCAGTTATTTACCAGCAGCTTGCCAGTGTCTTCAAACTTACATTATGTGAGAAAGAATTGCTGAGGTATTAAGAAGAGCACCTCACCACAGTGCAGGCAGCATGAGGAGCTTGGGTGTCATGGGCTGTTGAAATATGAGTGTCTTTAGTCTGGATTAACATTTTCCCTTCCCAAGGATGGTAGAACTGTGATGAGGGACCCCTGGCAGCCCGAAGGTCTTGACTCTCGCCCACTAGGGACAGTTTGCCTCAGGAACTGCACCACTTCTCCATGCAGTTCCTGGATGGATACTTAGTGACTGTTGGAAGTGGGAACAAAAGGGGGAAAAGTAAATGTATTTTTCTTGTGGAGCTGCATGAAAAAATTTCTTTAGAGTTTTTCAAGCAATTAGCCAGGGGTACTGGATGGCACATGGAATAGTTCCTAAAAATGAACTGGTCGTGATGCTGCCCTGCATGGAAGTTGATGGATATTAAAGTCACACAGTTTTCAAATAAGTGCAGACAGAAGTGCAGGCAGTTTGCAACCAGCTTGGTGCAGCTATACTCTGTGTGTGTCTGTGTGTGTGTATTCATTCATTAAGGGGAGCCATTAGTTCTGTCACCAGTTCTCTAGAGTCAAACACAGGAGACCAGCTATAAGGAGTCTCACCAGCAGGGAGTTTTTGGGTGCTCTAGAACTGGGAGAACAGTGTCACTCACTGCCTCACTCATAAATTAATCTGTGCATCGTGTTACACATATGCCCCTCATGTTTGACCAGTCTGGCCTGAAAAATATCGGAAGAATTTGGGCTTTTGCACATTTTGCCATTTCCTTTAGTACCATCAGCCATTCGCTCTGGGACCAAACCACTGCTGTGATGCTTTTAACCATGTTGCTGCTGAACATCCTCTTGTGCACTGCAAAGCTATTGGAGAAACATAAACTATTGAAATACAGCAGACAGAAGAAAGACTTTTCACCCTCTAAGACTGTAGTGCTTGAGCTGTTGGTGTGTTTTCACTGTAAGGGATGCTGGGTCAAGGCTCCAGCATGGGACTTCATGCTTTCTCAGGCATCAGCTTGGGAAAGTGAGGAAGACAACTCCAGCCTCTTGCTCATCAAATCCCTCAGCACACTTGTCTAACCAAGAGTAAAGGCTAAATAAACACATCTAAACAACTGAAAAGCACATCAACATCCAACTTCAAAATAAAATGCAGTGAAGTGTGAAATTATACCTTTTATTCCATAAATCTTCAGCAACAAACACAGTTCTATAGCTTGTCTTTAGTATTGGCAGATTTTAACACACCATCCAAAGCCCATAAAGTAATTACATTTCATCTCAACAAAGAAACAAAATCCCAGCTCGTTCAATCCCCTCCATCTGAGGAAGGATTATAGACAATTCAGTGCATGTCGATTTTTCCTAGTGATAAATCCAAACCAGGTCACCAACAAAATGGTAGTGTGGGTTCCCAAGGCAGCTGATTTACAGGGAAAAACAAAGATGTTATTTGATGTCCTTCAAGACAGTGTCACCCTGCTTTCTGAAACTTCCTGAGGTTTATCCCCATCTAAAAGGCACTTAAAAATGTAAAAGTTAACCTTGAACAGACAATTTTGGCCCTTGGCAACTGCCCCTGTGCAGGTTTATGTGCTTCGTACTGGATTCCCATCTTTTAAAGAGTTATTTCATTTTGCAATAAATGAGATTATATGAGTGATGATAAAAGTGATGATAGAAAGCCAGCAGAAGACACTCGCAGCCCCACATCTTGCAACACCAACCATCAAGCCCCAGGAATCTGGGCACTCCAGACCCATGGGTCAGGCTGGAAATGTTTGTTATCAGAGCATGTGTTGGCTGCCCTTCTGCCAAACCAAGGGTATCTCTGTATACAACAAGCCACAGTTAGTTTAACTAATTTATTGCCCTCAAATAAAGCCTCCAAACTTTAATTAGACCATTGTGATTAAATGCAATTAAAACCCTGAAAGCAAGTCAACAAGGACTGCAGGCACTCTCATTCCCAAAGCCCAGCACAATGCTACAGACACACACAGGAATGGATAACTAAGAGTGAGGCTGAAAGATATTTTTCCCCACCAGGCACAAACTAACATGTCACCATAGACTTTCTACCATCCCTTGCTCAGCCTCTGCAACAGGACAAGACCTTGGAAAGGAAGCCTAAAAGTCCTAAAAGGAGAGATGGATACAATTGCCTGCCATGGTCAGTGTTGGTGCATCATCTCAAAACGCGATGATGCCCCTCATCAGCACCGGCTGTGATGGGGATCAGTGATGGCACAGGCACAAAGGAAACTTGCAAATACACGGGTGTTTTCCTTTATTCATTTCCCCACCTTTGCTTCCTTTGCTTCTGACCCAAGCAGACTATGATAAATGTTGCACAGTGATGGAAAATGTGGGGGGGAAAAGCCATGGCAGCCTCCCAGTGTCTGGTGCTGTTGTACAAAATTCAAGGCAGACAATGCAGAAATAACTTGTGCAAGTGTTTTCATGCTTTTTCAGCTGATATACCTCGTGAATGTAACTCAGTTCCCAGTTCACTCCAAGAGACCAAAGACTCAAAACTGTGTTGGCATAACTGAATCTTGTCCATGGAGAGGTCAGAGGGAAACCATCATGATTGCCAAGACAGAGAGAGTGACACTGAGCTGAGTGACACGGGGGACTAAATTGTGCTAAGAATCACCTGAACACAGAGTGGTCTTGGTGGAAGACATAAAATTTGATGTCAAATTTGTGTATCAAAAAGTTCACAACCTGTCTAGGAGACAATAAGCAGTGGAAGACCAAAACAAGGCAAAAAATGGCAAGGAGAGCACTAGTCAGGTTTCACAGGGCAAAGAATTTGGTAATATCATGATCAATTGCATTGAAATAGGAAGACAAAACTAGAAAGGGCTCTGAGAAGCCAGGAAATGTCATTGGGGGTAGGGGGACAGTAAGGAGGTGAGCAGAAAGCAAGAAAAAAAAATCATATTTCTAAATATAAACCCCAGCCAGGTCCTTCAGTCCAGCTCTGGTCATTTCTTTTGCCCTTTAGACTTTTTGAAAATCTGTCACTGAGCTATAACTTGAACAACCCCAAATCATTCCTCCTAATGGCACCTGTATTCGGATTTATTTTCTGTAGTGAGCTGGAGTAAAAGGAGAGTTGCAATAGGCACCCCACGGCACACCGGCCACCGCGGCTCAGTGTGTGCACAGAGCCAGGAAAAACCCAGCAGGTGCAGGAGAGTTCCCTGAGTTATTTCCTATTCTCTGTCTAGCAATAAAGACACAGCTACACTGGGTGGTAACTCTTAGCAGATGGTGACTTTTTAAAGTTGATTGCTGTATAAATGATACTTTCTGGGTCTGTTCCTTTTAATTCAGATTCTCAGTAGTGTGTTCAAATGTCAGAGAGCATCATATTTCTATCTTTTATTTCCTTTGTGAGCAGAAATCTTCTATAAGAAGTCTAGGAATTACAGCTTGGGAGAGAAGATAGACTCCCTCGATAAAAGTGATCTACTTTACAAATGTTACAGAATACAATAAAAACAGGAGATGCAAAAAGTCCCACTGGCTTTGTTCTCGGTGGAGAGTTTGAATTTCTATTGCACTCTTAAAGAGACATTTTGTCTGCACTGTAATGTTTACTGGATCAGTGAGGTCCATTAGCAGCACAAAGGCAGAATTTCCTCTGCTGCCAGCACAGGGAGGGTGGGGAGTGGGGGTGGAAGACATCTAATTAATCTACTACTGTGGGTAAATAAAAATAACAGGACAGCTGAATGAGGACCTTATTTACCCCCCAGCTGCACTGCAGCCCCAAGCCGGGGTGTCCATGTGCCAGACCCCCATGGCATGCAGGGTTTGGGGGGCTGCACATGCCCCAGATTGGCAGCCACATTAACCAGATTGACAGAGACCAGAGTCAATGCAATTTGGCTCTGGCCGCAAATCCAAAGCCTGTGCCATGGCTCCCAATGGCAAGAGGGCTGTTATATTGCTCCGAGCTACCTACTGGGTGGTTCACCTGCTTACCTTCATCTGAGCAAGGTGTCATTTCACCACGGTGCTGAGGAGCTGGACCTGTACCTGGAAGCTGCAGCTCAAAGGCTTTTCTGGTTTTCTGCAAGATGTGTGTACATGTCTTTTTAATGGTGTCGTAGCTGGAAACTGTATCCTCACATACCTTTGTAGCTATGGAGGGTGTTCAGAACAGCATGGGCTGCTTGCCCAAAACTCAGGAGGATCAATGCTCTTCCCGAAAGAGGATTCCCTGTGAGGACAATGGGTCACCTCTGAGGGCTTCCCACTACATCATCCACCAGATCAGAAAAGGTACCTCTGACAATAACTACCGTGTATTTTCACAGGTTTCACAGAATATTCTGAGTTGGAAGGGACCGACAAGGATCATCAAGCCCAGCTCTTGAGTGAATGGCCCATTGAGGGATCCATCCCCCACCCCTGGTGTTATTAGTGATTTCCTGCCACCCTACTGACCCACACCTGGGACCTGAGTACACCTCCTGACATGAATACTCTGGAAAAAATGGAGGTGAAAAATAGAGCACCTCTGTGCCTTGTACCACTGTGGACCCCTCCCTACCATGGGACAGCTCCTGTGTCCCCAGGTTTGGGAAGATTTACCAAAATAGATGCCACTGTGGCAAACTGGGGAGATTCAAAGGGCTCTGCTACTGTCACTCAACTGCCCTCTGCACTTCACCTCCCCTCAGAGTCTATGTCTCAGCCATTTATTTATTGCACCTCCTTGGCAAAAAAAGGAAAGACATCCCCTGGCCAGAGGGAAATGTCCCAATTAAAGAGTGAATGATGCAGTAAAACAGCAGAGCATTCTTGAGAGCAGCGGTAAAAGCGGCCACCTCTTGTCCTCAATTTATGCTGCTCCCATCACCCTGGGCATTATATTTGTGCTGACAAGGATCAGTTTAACCCCTGCCTGCAATCTAATAAAAAGCTGGCATGATGCAAGCATACATAATCTTTCTTCAGTGTCCTAGGAATGGATGCAATAAAAAACTGCTGCTGCTGCTCGATGGCCACAGTCACTGCCTGGAATAAATAACTCCCTGTCCCATACCAGCAGTTGGAAGTGCTTTGGACCAGAGGCTTTTCAGACCCTCATCCCTTTATAGAATCTTGTAATCATAGGGTTGTTTAAGCTGGAAAAAAACCTCTTAGATCATTGCGTCCAGCTGTTCCCCTAGCACTGCCCAGTCCGCCACTAAACCATGTCCCCAAGAGCCACATCTACACATCTTTTAAATCCCTCCAGGGATGATGACTCAACCACTTCCCTGGGCAGCCTGTTCCAGGGCTTGACAACCCTTTTGGTGAAGAAATTGTTTCTAATATCCAAACTAAAACTCCCCTAGTGCAGTTTAAGGCCATTTCCTCTTGTCCTGTTGCTTGGGAAAAGAGACTGATGCCCACCTGGCTACAATCTCCTTTCAGATAGTTGTGTTCCCCCTGAGTCTCCTTTTCCCCAAGCTGAGCCCCCTCAGATCCAGCTTAACACTCCAGCTCATCTGTGAGTGCATCACATGGCTGGTGGCAGTCACCCATCACCCCTCAGTATATACCAGGGGCAAAGGAAAAGGAAAAGTCCCAAAGGCCCTGACATAAGTAAACAACGGGATCTTTCCCCTCTCATCATTAATTGACCAAATCAGAGTTGCAGAGCTGACATTACGCTCTGCTACCCTTTGTAATGAAATCACTGCCTGTGCATAAGAAACAAATTTAATGATATGATACTAATAGGGTTAGAAATTTCCCATGCAAATATTAATAATTTATATCTACATTCATTTTTTAATACTGCTTGCAGTCTGTAACAAGAAAATGCTGAAGTTTACCAGCCTTTCTCACAGATCTTGTCTGGGGAGGGCACAGGCGTTACCCAGCTGGAGGCACAGGCTCCCCAACACGATTTCCCTGGAGGTGCAAATTAGCTCTTGGAAATCATGTCCTGGCCTGCAACCATGTTTCAAAATAGAGATGATGCCTAAACATGAGCGCTGCTTGCATGGACGAACCAGCAAGAGGAGACGGACCGTGAGCCTTGGTGCTGCCTGAGCCCCTTCCCACAAGCAACACCCTCACCAAGAGCCGGGACTGCCAATGGCCTCTGCAACAACGCAGGGTGGAATGAGCACCAAGCCCCCACCTGTGTCTTGAGGCAGCTGGCAGCAAAAGGAGCAACCTTTGGACTGTAAAGCCAGAGGGATCTGGGGACTATAGGGGGCGGGGTGGGGAGGGCATTTTGTTGCAGAAGTAGGGAGGGATTTGTGCTAAATGTTCTTTTTTTTTCAGCGGTGAAAAAGTCTCTTAAAGGAAGGGCAGTGTCTGCGAATCTGCGGGGTTGAAAGGGAAGCTAATTCCCTCGGACAGGCATAATTGCTGCAATTCAGAATGGTAAAAATGTGAAATTAGGAATAATCAATGGCTGTTTATGATCTGTCTCTATACTGTGAATTCAGCTAATACGGAGTAATTACACTGTGCTAATTCCTGGTATTTGTCATCGTTCAGTTGCAGAGGAGTCCTGCAAAACAATAAAAGCAGATTGGCTGCACTGGGCCCGCAGACCGGGGGCTTAGCACTGCCCGAGCTAATTTCTCTTTTAATAGTAAAAGCGGCTATGATTTCCCTTATTTATTTTTCTCTCCTGGCGGCAAATCCGGCAGTGGGCTGTGCGCCGCGCTCGGCCGGGCGCAGGGATGCGCTACACAACAGCACCCCCAATAGCCGGCACCGCCGCGCTGCCGGGGACGCGCACCGCGCACCAGCCCCTGTCCAGCCAAACACGTCCTGTCTCCGCTGGTGAAACTGCGTCTTCACCTTCTTGCCCAATATTGTTATAACAACCCTCTTATCAAACTTTGTCCTCACACAGTTCTCATCTGGCACAGGGTAACCCTGCCGCGTCTCACCCGGATGCTCGGTCACTCCGGAAACCGATGGGATGTGTTTCCCGGCAGTTTGCTGGCATGATTCACTCTTCAGGCAATGAAATAGTGCTAGTTATTGACCTCTGCAAAAGTGGGAGAGGAGAGGTGAGTACAGGAACAGGATGGTTTATTGGTGGGTGAATAACCCCCCACAGCAGCACAGGTGGAAGGTGTGGGCTGCAGAGACAACCCTCGCCCTCACCCACCTCTGGCACATGTTGTGCAGGAAGCGTAGATGATGTTTAAAACTACATAAACCCAGAAGTTACAGGTTGTTCGAAGGTGCTACACTTAACATCTGCAGTACAGGAGCAGCAGGAGCAATCAGAATCCATACACCCACAGGGCTTGTCAGGACAAAGTTTGCAAAGTGGCAGTGGCCAAACCTTTCCTAAGAGAATTTGTCATGACTTCATTCCAGAGAGCACACCCCTGAAAAGCAGCGTGTCCCTGGCCACTGCAGAGCCCCATAGGTGAGGGATCTTTGGGGAAACTTCCTGATGCTGAGCTTTCATGTCCTGGGAGGGACAGTCCTGCAGCCACTGGGGCTATTTGGCAGGAGCCACCAGTGCCCCAAGGCTTCCCACCATCCGCTGAGGGGCCACACACCCAGCACTGACACACGGAGGGAGGATGAGGAGGATGAGGAGAGCAGCTCCTTACGTACCAGCCCACTCCTGCCAATTCTACCAGGGTGCTCATCGCAGTGCAGTGACTTTGCACCACAGACTGCTCATTCCCCACCTTGGCACCTTTTTGACATCACATCTATTATTTTTTCTTCATTTCTCTTTCTCTGCATCACAAAGAACCTCTGGGGGGAGCCTGAGGATGAGTCTGATGTGATTCCATTGCACTGCACCAGTTAATTGTTTGCTGTGTTGAGATGAAGCTGATGTCCTGTTCCCAGCACTTGACACATTCACTAAAGCTAGGTGGCATTAAAAAAGCCCCCATTTAAAAGCCCCCTTCTGCTGTGTGCCACATTGGATGGGCAAAACCTGGGCTAGCACAGGATGCAGGAATAGGACAAAAGGGCTCTCCATGCCAGCACCAGCACTTGAGCTGTGCCATAGCCACATCCCATGAGGAAAGCGCACAGCTCCCCATCTTTTCCTGTGGTTTCAGAGAAACATCTTGGATGAAATGTGCAGTTCCAGAGAGCAGAGGGATTTCAAGCAAGATTTCTTTGTTGTGATGATGAGGCTCCTGGCCCTGCTGATGGTTTTTGCTCATTTCCTCTGCAAGCAGCAGCAATGCCTCCATCTCCATAGAGGACTCAGAGGCCTCAGGTGCCTTGAAGCAGGAGGAGAAATTCATCACGTAACTGACCTCCCCCAGGGCACTACAATCCCCATGCCATGGGCCAGCTCCTGGATGGGTGGGAAGCGGGTGGATGGAGCAGGGACACGTGCTGTGGCACGCCGGGGCTTGGGGCACTTGGTTATTGAGCTGAGCCGGTTATTGCCAGCAGCTAAACAAACTAATGGGAAGGATATTTCCCTGGAGAGAGAGAAGGTTTTTGATTTAGACTGTACTGTTTAAGCTTAGACTCTCACCGCAGCTAAAATTTCCTTCTGAGGGCAATAATTATCCCAGTGCAGAGCCCAAGCATGTGTTTGCTTTTCTGCTCCCTATCTGGAAGGATTTGGTTTAGGGGTCTTTGATTTCCCCTGGTGTTCAGCACCCCCTGCACACCTTGCCCAGCTCTGGGGACCAGAGCTGGAGGGAAGCAAAGAAAAGCTCAGTGCACAGCTTTATGCAGAGATCACCCTCAGGTATTAAACTAATTACCAGGGAGAGGCACTAGTCCCTCAGGGGTTCTGCTCCAGCCCTCTGCAAGCTGCAGTCCAAAGACAGTGCTGCTGCTGCCAGCCCTGCATTTCCTCCATTGGTTCTGGAATGAAAATTACTTTAAAAGCTCCAAGAGAAGCCATTTGGTTCTTCTAAGTGATAGGAATGGAAAAGAAAAAGGAAAGAAGGAATGGGAACACTTTTTTTCTTGCTGGCAGGTAAATGAGGTTCAGCTTTTGAAAATATATAGGGCCTCTAGTGCTAACTGCAGGGCTGGAGTCTCCAAGGAGTGATTTCTTCCTTCAGAACCATAATAATAACAATAAATGATTAAAAAGAAAACAGCCTAAATCTATATCTGTAGTTAACTCAGGACTCCTTCAGAGTTCAGGCCTGTTGCTGAATAAATAAACACTTACTTGAAAAAGGAACCTCCAGCCTCCTGCAAATGAGAGGCAGCGAAGCAGCGCTCAGGGGCAGCCCGAACACGTGCAGCACAGCCAGAGGGAAATCCTGCCAGATCAGGTTATTCTGGCTTTACTCCAGATTGGGGAACACCAGACCTGGCTTCCTGCCCACCCGCTCCCATTGCAGAACCCTGCATCAGCCACGCTGCCCAGTGTGCTGGTTTGGTGCAAGAGCATAGAGTCAGGCTGGTGACCGCCCTCAGAGAGGTTTTTCTCTTCTGATGTGCCAAAAAAGTGAGTGCCAAAGTAGAGAAAACCTCCAAAAGAAACACATGAGGTAATGGCCACAGGAATTACTGTTTCCTCCCTCCCATGGAACAGCTGCTCCCAACCACTGCTGGTGACTGCGCCCTGTGGGCTGACACGTCGGGTGCTCAGCCCCACACCGGGCAGTGAGATAAGGCTCAGGGAGGTACCATGAGTCACAGAGGGCTGGGCAGACTTGGCAGCTACACTGCCACACTGCCCAGCACATGGTACCCCAGCTCCCTGGGACGCCCCAGCACCCACACAGCCTGCAGAGAGGGACAGCACAGCTGGGACGCTGAAAGGTACGTAGACTTGTCCCATCCCTGGCTGGGGAAATGTGGTTTCTAGAGCATGACTGAAGTAATGCATTTCTTTTTACTTGCTGGCAGGTTAGAAGGTTGCGTGGGCAAGGTTTTGGTTGTTCCTCCTTCTTGTAGACAGGAGGAGAAGGGGAAGCCCCGTGCACTGGCATTCCTTCCATGAGATGCAACTGTGCTGGTTTCATGGTCAGAACTAATGAACTACCTGTGTTAACAGGGATTTGTAATTTGGTGGAATCAGCTGTGTGATGTGGGGTCCAGGTCAAAGCCCTTTATCCGTCATGGCTATGGATGAATTTGCAGGATGTTCACTGTGCAGAGTGTGTGGTTTGTCCAAGATCAGGCTGCTTCTCAGGTTATTGTGTATTTTTTCTTGCACTGCTGAAAGAGACTCAGTCTTGCTGCCCACACAGCACCAATAGAGAGGGAAATATTTTCTTTAAAAAACTGATTACATCATCTGGAGTTTTGAGAAACCAGACTAGATGGAAGGGAAGGAGGACATGAGGTGGCAAGTGCTTCCTGGTAGAAAGCAGCAAACATTGGTCAGCACCCCAGATAACTACTGGATTGTACTGGGGGCAGTTTTGCCATAAGATGTCCTCTCCAGCCATTTAGTGGATCCAGCAGCTGGCCAAGCATTTTTATGAGCAGAGGAATTTATAAGCCCTCTGGCAAACAGCCCCCTCCAGTTGAGTAAGCTGGCAAAACTCAGTTAGATTGACTCCTTTTGAGACTGAAAATGGCAGTGTAGCACCCTCCATTCTCCTGTGGTGGGATAAACCCTGAACACGGGGTGGATGTGCACCCACCCAACACCAGTCCCTCCTCTGCACCCCTGCATTCAATTTTGCAGGAAAACCTGATTGTTGGAGGGGTGACTCGATTGGTGTGGGCAGTCACCCTCTTTGGAGCCCCAGCCCCACCCCACAGCAAAATGCTCGTGTTCACAGTCAGGGACCTGCTGGGAAACAGAGGGACAGGTAGGGCTCAAAAGCAGAAAAAAAAAATAGAAAAAAAAGGCAGGAGTTTGTGGGGAAGCAAAGTAAAGTTTTCCTGCAGTGCCAGGAGGCAACAGAACATTCACCTGCTGAATCCTGGAAAACCAAACTGTGTTTCTTGACAGCAATTAACTCAGCTCTGCTAAGCGGCACTTCGTCCAGAGCAGGCTTGGGTGCAGCCTTTGCCTTACAACACCATGAACCTCTTTAGCAATATTTGTCCAAGAACTTTTTTGTTCCTGGAATGCTTTTTAAGCAAATAATTTCAGGTTTATTAGACAAATAACTCTGTTTAACACCCAACATAGTTCCTTCCTTTCTCCCTCGCCTGCCAGCAGGTCTCTGGCAGATGTCAGAGCACAGGTGCCTTTTATTCTGGCACAACACTAGGAAGAAAAAAAACTATTCAGTGCAAACAATTATAAAATAATGTAATATAAATAACAGGACATGGTTACTCTCTTGTAATGCAATCAGGTTCCAGGATTTTCACTGCCTAGGGACTTCACCCAATAAATTTTATCTGGGATTAAGGTGAAGATAAACAGCCCAAATAAATACATCACTTCCCTGAAGCACTGGCATTTATTGGTTTATTTTTCCATTACTCTTCCTCTGCAATGAAATCAGTATGTTCATAGAAAACCCACAAATTTGGTAAAGGAGAGAACTATGCAATGGGCCCCTATGAGGCCAATGGTCACTGTAGAGGTGGGGACCAAACAGGGAGGGTTTTGCAAACCCAGTGGAGTTTTGCTCCACTCACTGTGTCCAAATCACAGTCCAGGTCTGAATCCTCACCAGCTCCAGGCTCTGCTCATGGCACTTGAGGGGAAGTCAACAAGCTCCAGAAGCAAACCAGTACCAATTTTGAAGTTCTTGTGTCTTGCCAAGTGGGATTCTGAGGACTGCCCCCATTTTCTGACCCCATCACTAGATCAGGCACTGGCATGGGGGAGCCAGGACTGGGATAGTGTCCCTGCGTTTAACAAGCAGAAATTCATGTTGAAAGGAACAAAAGGGAAGAGCCTGGTACTGCCCCTCCAGATCCATCCACAGGCAGCATTCATCCTCCAAAACCTTTAAACCATCCTTTTTCAGGTCTGTGGCTCTTCTACCAGCTCAGTGAAATGTTAATCCCAGCTCCATCACAAGTTTTAAAATCTGTTTCAGAGATACCGTGCTGGGGGCTGGGATGGACCAGGACAAGGTGGTGTGGGGAAGGGCTGTGGGAATCACGGACCCCCCTGACACCTCGCACAGGGACAGATTCCTGTTCACAGGCCCCTTCCTCTGGGAGGAATAGCTGCTGGGCAGAGAAGGGCGATTCTGCTGGGAAGCTGCGAGCTTGGCTGATACACTACCAAAAACACACTGTCATGATACCCTAGGGTACAGAAATACCTTCCAAGGCCTCCTTTAAAACACAGACAGGCCAGTCTCCCATGGGAAGCTCATCATTCCCTGCTGGAGCAGCTCCAGCGTATCCTCCTTGCTGCAGTGTCCCAGCAGACATGGGCACAGCGGAGGGGTCTCATGGGGGAGCACTGCCGGGCTCCAGACACCTGAAACATCACTGAGGGGCTGCCTAAAAGCCCCAGACAATGATGCTGCAACCTGCCCCTAGGTGTAGGGAAAACCAAGGGGAGCATCATATCAGGGCACTGAGGGGGGATGCAGGTCCATCCCGCCCGGGGTTCAAGGCAGGACACGCACCACAGCCACGGTCAGTAACACGGCAAGCCCTGGGAGGGGACCCAGAGCAGGGCTGAGCAGGAGGCAAAGCTCTTCTCTGCTTCCTCATGACGCAGCAGCCTGAAATCAACATTCAACCCAGCCCTGCTAAAACCCGTTGCTCCTTATTTACCCATCAAACAGGAAAAGCAACTCTCAGCACAGCCCTTTTACAAATTTTCTGTCAAACAGCACTTATAGGGCTGTTCAGTTAACATCAGGCTCATTAACCAGGAGGCTCATTAACCAGCACCCATCTCACAAGTGACAATTTGCCTTAGGAGTCCAGGGTGGTTTCCACAACAGACGTTCACCAGACTGCAGCCTGGAATTTCAAAGGTAGGAGTGGGTCCCCAGCCCCTGGGAGCCCAGTGCGTGGGGTGGTGGGTGCCTGTCCCGTTGGTCAGGGTGGCAGTGGGAGAGAGGGCAGCAGATGGACTCGCTCGGGTAGGAAATAGTTCATGCTCCAAATTACAACCACACCCCATCCCTGTGGGTGAAGTCGCTCCAAGATTTGGCCGAGTGGGAATATTTCTGGTTTTAAGTTGGGTGTCTGCAAAGCTGCCTGCTCTGCCCAGCACAGTGGTGCTGCCCTTCTTCCTTTCTCCTTTGGATTTGAAGGAGGACAAGCTCGTTCCCGGAGGTTCCCCTAACTGAGCAAGGCCAAATCACAGCTTGTCCTCAGACAGCATTTTGCAGTCCCTAATATTTAAAACCTACTTTGCATCATCCCAGAAGGAAATTCAGCAAAGGTATGACTGAAAATATCCACCTCATCAGCAGAATAGAAAAAACCTGATCCATTACCAAGAACACAACACGAAACAGGAGCACAGGGGGCAGCAGACAGACACAGGGAAGGGTTCTGAGACTTCAGAGGGATCGAGCTTTATCAGTGCAGCCTGCTCTAGCATACAGAGCCAGGACTTATCAGGGTGGGATCAAGCACATGTGTCTGATAGGAATTTGTACATCTTTGATGATGCCTTAGCTATTATAAATATGATTAAACATAGCTATTATCTTTTCATCCAGAATCTGCCTGGCTTTGGTAGGTTACAGGTACTCTTTATGGCATTGCCTTCTTTTCTTCAGGGTGACCTGTGACCATTGGCCACCCCCTCAGCTGTGCTCTCCCTCCCCAACACCATGCGGATATCAGGTGAGGGAGACATATTTACCTTTCTCTGTCCATTCTTCTACAGTTCCTTGTGCCTCCATCTCATTTACATGATGCCTTCTAAGCCCTGACCTTTCCCTGCCAGGCACATGAGAAAAGGTCTTTGTGTAAGCATCAGGTTTTTACAAGATTTGTGTAGATTTCAGCCTGTTGTATTTTTCCCAGTGAAACCTTCTGTGTCTGGGAAGAGATGGCTATTGAGACGCTCCTGGTTCCATAAGAGCTATTCAGCTGCAATAAAAGTACATTTTTCTACTCTCTTTCCATGCAGGACTGGAACGTTTTGCTCTGATGAGCGCTGTTTTAAAGCCAAATGCCAATCACATTTGTATCAGCAGCTGCTCGGCTGTAGCAAGTGACTAATTGGGGGATAGCAGTCTTCCCAGCACTGGGAACATAAGAAATATTTGGATTTACATAGCTCTCTGAGTAATTATCAGATTTACTTTAATGTAGAGAGAAATATGAATAGTGCCTCCCAGTAGAATGGTAGTGCCTATCTGAGCATCACCACATACTCCAGAGATATTAATTAAGAGATCAGAATCCATTTAGATGGTGAAGGAGTGTTAGCTGCCTTCCCACACCATGTAAGCACTGGCTGTCACCCTGAGCCTGGTAACCTTGGGACAGACAAACCAAGTCCCCAGAAACCAGAGGGATGCCCCGGTCTGACCCAGCTGCGGCTGCTGCTCTCACCTGGCTCCTCTCCCGCACCTTGCAGGTGTGATCCGGTGCATGGTGCTGCTCATCACACTGCTGGGCACATGGTTCATCATGCAGACGTACTTCCACCACAGCTGGAAAACCATCAGCCTGCGGAGCTGGCTCGGTGAGGCACCAACGGGGCTCCAGCCAGATTCAGAGGGAGGGTCTGGGAGGTTCCATTGCAAGCCAGCCCCCAGAGCTGGATATAGTTGCCACAAATATTTGCACTTGCAATCTCTGGCCAAGGCTATAACCACTAGCTCTGACCACCAGGGCAGGGAGGGGACAGCATAGTGGGAAGCTGCACTGGGGTAGCGTGGGTCCAGAGATGCCTGCAGCCATAGGAACCAGTTTTGGGGAGCTGGTACCTGAACAGCTGCTCCAGGCTTGGGGAAGAGCCAGCTGCTCTCTGGGGTGTCTAACCCTCCTGCTTGATACCCACAGGTGCCAGGAACAAGCCCAGCAGTGAGTACTGCTCTCGACTTCATCTCTGTCCCACAGCTCCGCTCCAGGGTTGAGGGTGATGGTGGATGCACGATAGCTGTCCTCAGAGCCAAGGCAAAAATCCCACCCTCCCAAGCACAGGAGGATTTGCTATTGCACACAGCAGTGGGGTTTTGGCAGGCTCTGCGAGCACACAAACCTTCATGCAATCGCCCTGCCCCCAGCAGAAGCACCCCCAGGGCACAGAAGGAAGGTCATGGGTCCTGCCAGGTGGGTCCCTGCCTTGGCAAGAGTGGGGAAACTCTGGGCAGAAAAGCCCTGAGGGTCTGGCCTTGGATACCAGCTCCAAATGCTCGTGGCACACAGCCCTCTGACCCCTATGGCAGCAGCTGTGCCATCTCACACCCAGAGCAGTACCTGGCAGCACCAACTCATACCTCCTACCCCAAGCCTCCACACCATAAACCTCAAGCACAAAGCTGGTCCCAGCCCCAGGACAAGCCTCCTTCATGCAAGAAGCCAGTCCAGGTGTTACCCCCTTAGTGGGCCACTATCCCCAGTTCCAGCCCTGCTCAGCCACTCAGGGGCATGGCCTGTGTCCCCCTGAGGGGCCAATGCCATGGCTTGCAGCTCTGCTCCTCCCTCGCAGGTGAGAAGCTGCCCCGGCACAAGTGTGGGAACCAGAAGAGCTGCCCTCAGAATTATTTTGCCTTCAAGATCGTCAGTGGTGCTGCAAACGTGGTGGGACCTTCCATCTGCTTTGAAGACTTGGTGTAAGTAGCACATGGCAGGAACAGAGCAGCCGTGGCTGGCCTGGCCTTCAGTTTGGCCTCTGCCAAGCACATCAATGGCTGTCACAGTGTATTTGTGGTTAAAAAAAATTTCTGTAAATAGATTTCTTTGCTACCACTTCTGGAGTATTTTGCTGTCTCCAGCTTCTTTGCCCCATCACAGTTTCACTGGCACCAGCATCTCCAGGGCATCCCTGCACTCACTGTGCTCTCTGCTTTCCTTTCCAGCCTCATGAGCAGCATCAAAAACAACATTGGCAGAGGCCTGAACATTGCACTGGTGAATGGTGAGTCAGGTGGGCACTGATTCCTTTTTCCCCGTGGCCAGGTTTCCTTCCTCTCCCAGGAGAGAACAGGCCACTGGGGACCCCATCCCAGGCACTGTGGCTGAGCCAAAAGCATGCCCATCTTGTTGTTGCATGGGGCACACAGCCACAGTTATGGTTGCAAGCACTGCCAGTGAGAAGGGAACAAACCCACCTGGGTCAGTTCCACATTCATGACAGTTCCACGAGCTTCTCCAAGCAACACAGAAGATATGACACACTGAGGGAAGAGCAAAGCATTTGGAGTAGGAACCCCTGGCCCATGGCCAGGCAAAGCCTAAAGCCACCTCAGTGCAAACTCACTGTGCTCTGTTTTCAATTTTAACCTTTCAGGAACAACTGGGAAGCTCCTGAAAACTGACTCATTCGACATGTACTCTGGAGGTGAGCACCATCACTCTGCTGCTTAGTGGTTCCCAGCCAGGGTTCACACCAACGCTGCTGGCTGCTGGCTACTTCAGCTGCTCCTCTGTCATGTATTTAACCATAAATTTGAGTGGACTTTGACCAGAATTGCCAGCCTGGGCGGTAAAAGCCCAGCTTTCCCTGAGGCCATCAAGCCTGGAGTCCTCACGATGCATCCACATCCAAGACAGGCTTCTCACTCCTTTTACGTGCACCCAGTAGCCTGGAAAACATAATTTCACTAACCTGAATAGACCAGGGCACTCGAGATTTGAGAAAGGTACTTTCTGAGATCAGGTAGTTAATCCTGATATTTTGCAACTTGCAATTCAGTTTTTGAATGATGGTGGTGGCTGAGCAGCAGTTTGTTTCCCTGCCTTTCATGGAAGAATAAATGAGGGAGCTCAGGGCATGGCAGTGAGACACGGCCCCCAGGCCCAGCAAGGAGCATGGCAGCAAAGACCTGTGCCTGCTGGCTTCAGACAGTATTCCTAGCAGCAAATAGATGCCCTGAGCCAGGGCAGCACCTGGCTGACACTGACATGCTGGATGCTGAAAATCCCACCACTGTTGCCAAGCTGTTACCAAATCACTCTGCAGCTTTGGCAGGACTCATCAAAAACCACCCTTGTAGTCCTTTCGATTTTCCCTTTTCTGTTCAAGCCTTCCTTAGAGATCAGTCCCCCTCTACGCTCCTTGGTTTTGCCACTTATTCTTGATAACTGGATTTTTAAGGAGAATCACCAATATAATGGTATTTCCAGCTGAGTTTATGAGCAAGATGCTTGATAGAAGAGGCACTGGGAATGAGAAGGCAGTCGGCTCCTGTGCCACTAGATGGGGCATTGGATTCAAGCATCCCACAGATGCAGGATGAGGAATAATTCCCTCAATACAGCCATGATTGCAGGGCAGGCAGCTCTGTGTCTGGGCAGGTTCATTTCTTGTGTCAGGAAGTAAATTCACACAACTAGATTTCACAGTTAGCGAGCAAAGTTTAGAAGCAATTTCCCCCCTGCAGTTTTACTGAGAGGAGGACATCAGTCCTGGGTGCTGCAGAAAGCCCAAGTGGGAACATAGGATGGGGAATGCAGCACCTGGGAGCCCACCCTTCCCCAGGTCCATGGCCCCAAATCCTGGCTAGCACCAGCATTTCCCACTGACCTAGGGGAGGCTCCCCCAGCTACCACACAACAGTCCCTGCTAAATCCCTTTTTCTCTCCCTAATGCTCTTCTCTCCCAGACATTAAAAAGCTGGAAACCTTCCTCCAAGGGATCAGGCGCGGCACCCTCGTGCTGACAGCAAGCTACGATGATCCTGCCACAAAGTGAGTTTGCCCATGGCAGCAACACTGGGCTCCCCAAAAACCTGCAGCTGGGGGAGCTGCCAGCAGCAGAGAGGGACAGGAGGGGACACCCACCTGGCAGCACACTGCCACCCTCTTACCCTCTTTCAGGATGAACGACAATGTACGGGCATGTTTCATGGAGCTGGGCAGCAGCCACGTGAGTGAGCTGGGCTTTCGGGACAACTGGGTCTTCTTGGGAGCAAAAGGGCTGATGAACAAGACCCCCTTTGAAAAGGTATGTGGTCCTCCCCTGACACCAGCTCTGGAGGCTCCATCCTCTTCATAGCACCTCCCAAGCTGTATCTCACCTACCTGTCTGCAGAAGACAAGGGCCAGTGACATTATCCTCCACAACAAGCCAAGCTGCAACTTCTGCCACGCTGTAAACTTGCACTATGCCACCAACCTCCTCATTAGTTTTCTCTCTCTCTTTTTTCTTGCAGCATATCAAAAATGATAAGGAGACAAATAAATATGAGGGCTGGCCTGAGCTGCTGGAGATGGAGGGCTGTGCCCCCAGGAAGGTGGATTAGCATCAAGCTCTAGCCTGCCACACAGGACGACCTCCACCAGTCCCACAGGTACACCAGCTCCATCGTGGGGATCCCAGCCTCTCCACTTCCCGGTCACACAGCCCAGCAGCTGCTGCCTGCTCCCAGGAACCGTCTGTTTCACAGCAAGAACTGTGCAGGGTTTGGAGAAGAGCTGCACAAGTGCTTGGAGAGCCTGAGCAAACACCTGGCCAAGTTTCAGCCAAGCTGTCCTACTCTATGGGTCAATTTGGGGTATTTTATTTTTCTGTCTTTAAATTAAAAACTTTGTAGAATGTCTTTTAAATTTCTTAAATGAGATTTCTAATTATAACACACTACCTTCTCATTTCCATTTTCAAGCGTAATCCACACTTTCCCCCACAGGCACAGCATGCCAGGTCCTCTGCCACCAGTCAAGCATCACCATCACCCATTCCACAGCCCTGCACATGGGTGCTCCCCCTCCCCACATGGCACAGGGTAAAGTCATCCCAAGCTCAGACCTTGGTGGTTTTCCCCTGGAGCTCTTGCCAATGCCCCACAGTCTCCTACAGCCACAATAAGGCCAGAAGTCCACAGGGATGGCATGCAGCAATGTAGGTTAATACTTGCAGACCAAAGCAAGTTCCCCACCTGGTTGCATCTTTCCTGGGTTAAGTCTTTAGCTGGGTTAAGCTAAATCCTCTGTGACACATCCCCATCAGGATAAGGCCAGGGATGTGCCAACCTGACTTTGGCCTCAGAGAGAGATAGATGGATGAATGTGCAGGTGTCTTGGGTAGCTGAAGTTGTGCAGCATAACCAATAGGTGGGAGCCTTTTACCAGGAGAGCCAGAGCCAACATCACTCTGGAGCGATATAATGCACCCAGGCTGGCACCCCCCTGCAGGCACCCACACACCTGCTTTGCTCCAGGAACTGCACCCCAACCTGGGGCCAGCCAACACTACCAGGAGGGGAAAGATCCCTGCCCAAAGGCAGGCTGGAGAAGCCACGCAGTCCTCCTCCTAGAGTGGTTCCTAGGCTACTGCCCACCGCTGAGCAGATGCTGGGGGAGCATCTGCCCTCACTCAAGTCCGGGTGCATCACCCAAGTACAGTCTGTTCCCACACCCTCCCTGAGCACCAGCACTGCTAAGATAAGAGGAGCTGTGCCGGTGACAGACGGGCTTATCTGTCATCACTGACAGGGATGAATTTGCATCATGTACAGACTTTAATTTCCGATGATTATATCTGGTTTTTCCCCATTCTTTGAAGCAGACCAGCAGTTTTGCATAACATGACGGTGGAGCATTTCTGCTGGAGCACTTGGAGCTGCGGGGGATAACAGGCTGTCCTGCATGGCCTTCTCTGACTCTAACAGCCTCAGCACAGCTCCTGACAGGCAGTTCACAGAGTCATTCGAGCCCTCAGGTCACCCCAGAGTAACAGAAGTGAGGAGCATTGGCAGGATAAGGCCAGGAAAGGACACAGCCTGTCATGTGTTGGTCACCTGAGGGATGAAACTCTGGATCCAAAACCCAACGTCACCAGTCAACTGGTTTTCCCTAAGCAAGGATAAATCCCCAAACAAATTGTCTAACACTTGTAAGAACTTCCAAAGGTAAAACTGAAATAATACCCCAAAACAACCATCAGAGGAATCCCCCAAGAGGTGTAGTACTTTATCCCAGCTTATCCTCCCACGCTCTTAACACACACCTGATGGCACAGAGGGAAGCCTCTGCCATAAATCGATCCCTAAATCTGCTGCAACAACAGTGGTTAATCCCAAGCGCTGAATCATCCCTACCCGTGGCAGGAGTGAGAAATAACACAAGGCAGCAGACACAACAGCCCTCACATCACACAGCCCCGCAGCGCTGCCAGCATAAATATGCCAACTATTTTAAGCCCCCTCAAAGGATCTAGATTCACTCATAAACCAAACTCAAAACAGCCCAAGAGCTGTAAAGGTGGCTGCATGGGGTAAACCAGAGCACAGCATCAACTACAGCCCTGAAAACAACCAGCCCCTTTCAGCTGCAGGAAACTCTTCCTACCCCTTCACAGTGCACATTAGAAATCTGGTTTAGAGCCAAAATAAAGGAAATTTATGTTTCGGCACACTACAGGCAGTTAAAACTAGCTCTGAATCCATCATGGAGCAGTTACTAAGGTACATCACTATTTGCAAGAAATAGAGAGAGCTAAAAGTAAAACTCCTGTGCAGGGGTCTTCATTAGCAGCCAGTGTTTTGAAGAGCCGTTCCTGCCAAAGTCTCCATGTCCTGATAAAAAAATCACTACTTTTCAAATATCCAGAAACTGGGAGGCAGAGTATAAATATGGATTCAGGAGTCAAATTGAACTTGCTATTTTTTTTAGAAGATTTGAAAAGGACGGTGGCTGCAGGGACAGCAATCCTCAAATGAGGTTTTCCAGTGCCTTGGCATATTGAAAGCTGTATTACTAAGGGGACAGGCACCCACCTGGCTGGTTTTCACTGCGCCACATCCCCCGGAGTCCTCACCAAACACAAGCCTGATCTGCCCAGCCTCCCAGAATGCAGCTTCAGGTAACCTGGCTCACCTGAGGTCACAGTAGGCTCCAACGCTGCAGCAGCAAAGAGGCAGCCTGGGGTGTTTGCAGGAGCAAAGTTTGCAAAATCCAGTGCTGCAACAGGAGCCAAGAGCCAGGATACAGACACATAGTAGAAGGATAATCCTCCTTTATTTTTTGGTGTTTATTTCAGCAAAGCACCAAAGGAGCATCGAGGAAAGATGCCACAGGCAAGGACCTGCGGGTGCCGGGCCCGCAGCTGGGCGAATCCGTATCCTGTGACATCTTGCCCTGTCAAGTGCAATTACTGTAATCTTCCACAGCCTCTCAAAATACGGATCCCGGCTTAGAAACCGGGCATCCACAGCATGAAAGCTGCCTTTGTGCCCGGGCAGAGCCTGGGTGCGAGCCAGCCCTTAGGTGCATGAAGAAAATGAGTTCTCCACGTGCTGGAAGAAGGGAGGAAAAGCAAGCTTTCCCGCCCGACCCCACCACAGACAGGCTGGATTTCACCCACGTCTCCCCGGAGCAGCAGCCGAGGGGCCGGGAGCTGCACGGCTGCCTATCCCCCCGGGAATAACGGAGCCGTGACCACAGGGAGCTGGCCGGTCCCACATCCCGGAGAGTGGAGCGCAGCCAACACATCCGACCATGGGGGCGTCTCATGGGAAGAAGGTAACGGGGCAGTTTTATGCAGGGCTGTGGTGGCGGGAGGATCGAGAAGGCACCATCTGCTCACGTGGTGCTTGTTTTGCCCCGCGCGTGCTAAAGCGGCCGATGGCAGCGAGGGATTAGAGGGGAAGGGACCTGCTCCTGGGTGTGGGTGCCACTCGTCAGGGCCGGATTAAGTAATTCCATCTAATGGGCTCAGCACTGGGGCCTGCTGGGCTTTTCAGGACAGCAAGGAGGGGATCAGAGCATTGCAATAGGACAGACAAAGTTTGGCTTTTCTGGGGAGAAACATCAGGTTTGTTCCGAATGTGTCAGGCAGCCTTGCAGGCTGTCTCCCACAGGTGCACTACAGAACAAGCCCTGAGTGTTTCTTGGCCTGGGAATTGCTGCCAGCTCCCTCCCAGGACAGGGAAGAGCTCGGTCAAGTCCCACAGCACCCACACGTATCTCCCTCTCCTCCAAATCCCCTGGGGAGAGCAGTCAAACAGCTCCAAATGGAAACAGAGTTTTATGAAGTCAGAGCTCTGTGGAGGCAGCTAGAGATGGTTGTGCTGAAGACGCTGTTAGATGTCATTTTGCTTTCATGGCTGATGACATCAGTGCCTAGAGATGCGTCATCACCATTCAGTCATGATGCCCTGATCTGGAATTAGACTTCCATAGCTCATCTCCCAGCTCTAAGAGAAATGCACTTGTGCACCACACTAGGTCAGTAACTTCTATTGGAATGGGGACAGCACTGGCCCTTTGCTGCAGGAGGGACCTTTCATGCTCAGCTGAGCTTGGCTGTGGCCTTCAGAGGTGTGGGCACCTCCAAACCAGGTGCCTTGCAGAATTTTGCAAACTTGCTGGACTTTCTTCCAAAACTAGAGATAGACACTCTTGCAGGGAAAACATGCAAAAAAGCAACCCACTGGCCAGTGTGACCAACATCCAGAAGGAAAATTAGAGGTGAAATGGGACTAGTAAACATTTACCTATTTTTCTGGACTTCCGAGAAGTGCCAGGTACAGGAGGTGCCGCTCCCAGCCAGCCCCCTGCCTCTCCAACACCCATCCGAGGTGCCAATGCCACACTGACTCCAGCCATGGCCGTTCCTGGGGCTCAGGGCTACAACAACACACCCAGGAGAGCCATGCTCTGCCCACAGCTAATCCCTAGACCCCTGCTCACGTGGCTGTGACCTTCAGGCCCCGGCGCATTTGTACAGGCATTACTGGAAGCAGGGAAATAAGCTGGTTAGGTCAGGCTTGGCTCAGAGCCACCCGGTTAAGCCCTGCTGCATACAAAGCAGTCCATGCCAGCCTCCTGACCACCAGACCAGACAGCTTTTGGACAGCTTTCCTGACTGTTCCCTCTCTCTGAAACACCATGATCCCACTGCAGCCCAGCACTGAATGGCCTGGCTTTGAAACACTGCCGGGATCTCGGGCTCTCCCGTCACACCAGCTTGCTGGAAGCTCCAAAAAGCTCTGAGACAGTTTTATTTTCATGGGTACCAAAAGGTCAGAGATGTCACTCTCATTTCAGCCTCCTAAATGTTGCCTGGGTTGACAAAAGCCTGTGCCACTGCCCAGCTGGCACCAAGCAGGGATGTCTGACTGGCAGCTCCTGGGTCAGTGCTTTACCCTTAGGCTGATGCTGATGGGGAATGAAAACAAGACAGCTCCTTCTGCTGCCTTTCTAGGGTGGGCATGAAAGCAGGATCCAGCCCTCCTGAGGACCAGCTTGGGTCCGGGTGATAGGCAGGAAAACTCTCCTTCCCCCAGCCCTTGCAGAACCAGCACATCTCAGGACACAGGGACCTGGCAGGCATGACCCCATCCATCAGCTACAGCCCATAGAGGACCTGCAGGGGAGCATGAAGCAGAATGAAAACTCTGCACCCCTCGCCAGCACCACCTGCATTAGCAGTCTCAGCTGCACCCTGTTTAAACTTAAAACAGAACAGGACTCCAAGGGGATTACAGTAGTGGATTGTGGAGTGCAACACAATCCCCAGCTCCACAACAAAAGGCACCGGAAAGGCTGCCAGCATGGCTCCAAGGACATTTCTACTTTCAAAGGCTGCATCTACTCCCAGAAAACCTGTTCTGGTATCACCAGTGTCCTGCGGGCCCAAGCCAACAGCAGGACTCCAGCAAGACACAGACCCTTGCTGGGATACCCTGTGCTTGAAGTGAAGGGAAGGACTTTGCTGGGGGCTGGTTTAAGGGTGCTGCAGAGCTGGTGCTGATTCCCTGCCAGTTCCTCTGCTCTGCAGGGCATCAGCCCCACTGGGGACAGGAATGTGGCTGACATTCCTCTAACCTCAGCAAACCCCCTTCAAATAATCCTGCAAGTGCAGCCTCCCCAGCAGCAGCTCCCCAGGGTGCCAGGGCAGATGCTCCCAGCCCCCCGGCAGTGGAGGAGGTGGTTTCCAGGCACCTGCACCTCTCCGCTGCTTTTCTCCATGGTTTCTCAAGGCAGGGTTTGCATAGTGGCTGTTTCCCCAGGGAAAGTTTTCTGTCCCCAAATTCCCAAGAGTGTCAGTTTACACTAATGTCAGATGAGCCCAGATTAGCCCTGCTGCTGAGCGGGGAGCTTTGCTCTGTGTCTGGTTTAGAACAACAAGAGGCAGCACGCCAGTGCCAGGGAGAGAGGCTCTGCTTGTTCAGGCAACCACAGTACCTGGCTGCCCATGCTGAAAACAGGGGTTTGAGAACATCCTTTAAAAAAAAACTGCTCCATCTGAGCATTGCAGGACTGGACAAGCATTTCTGGGAGCTGCTGGTGGGATTTCCACACAAACACAACTTACCCACTAGGCAGGGTACCCCCACAGCCTGGCCCCTGTTTCAGCCTGTGTCCCAGCTCAGATGGGACATACTCTCTGACCTTTCATCCACCCATCTTTTCAGGGCACAAGGGACATGCACCATGTCCCTCAGCCACCCCAGCACTGCTGGTCCAGAGCAGAGTCCCTTTTCAGAGCAACTTTGGCTTCAGGCAAGCTCCTCCACCAACATACCTGATTACACTTCAGGACTTCTTTTTCTCACCAGTGATCATACATATTATTCACACGCCATAAGGGAGATGAAGGCTACAAAAATGAACCCCTCAGATCCAGAATGAAAAGCAAGTCCTAAAAAATTCCTTTGCAAAAAGATGGGGGGTGGTGGGAGGGAGAATAATTGCTCTGCCCCTCGTTAGCAGGAGGCTCTCAAATAGGTAAATAAGTGACTGGCTCTCCCAGACAAGTATTTCAGAAAGCCAGTATCCAGTGTCCCTGCCAGCTCTTGCAAAGCATCCCAGTGCCTGGGCAGCATGAGAGCCCTCCGAGGGACCCTGCCTGCTCTGACGTTACAGCCCCGGCCATCCCCCCTCACCACCCAGGGCTGCTGCTCTGATGTCAGCAAGAGGGGCTGCAGGTGCCAAGGCCCCTGAGTAGCTGAATGCCACCAGCTGTTTGGTGGCACTGGCCTCGGGAGCAAATCCAGAAACCAGATGGCAACTAGGAACCACAACATTTCAGTGTCCTGCGGTATTGTGCTGCTCAGGGAGAAGGGTTTGCTGACTGTAACAAGCCTTTCTTAGAGGGGCAGGAATGAGAGCTGCAGAAACACAGCAGTAAAGTCCCAAAGTGCCTCAGGACTTGGGAGATTATTGATAAAAAGCCAATTTCTGGGCAAAACTAACATACACCCAGAAGATAACAGCTCTGGATCATAAGACAGCAAACACCTGTAAGTCCTCTCATCTGTCTGACATAGCACACAGCTCAGAGTGGGACAGCTGGGTCAGGACTAGTCCCAAAACCTCCATAGAAGCTCTCTTAGGTGACTTTAACCTGCCTCTTGCCTTCCTCTTCTTCAGCCCTTTAAAATCCCACAGGTTGTGACGTGAGGACTCTAAGCAGAGATACTGATCTGGGCTTTTGTAGCTTTCAAAGTAGAATAAAATGCTGTGGCATCCCAAACCTCAGAAGTCAAATTCTTTATATTGGGAATGAGACCACAGCTTTATTTCTTACCCGTCCACCGTGAGTACCCAGACAGCACTAGTAAACCACCTCCAACATCTAACATAACCCACTCTCTGCCTCCAGAAAGGCTGACATTTTAGTCCTGAGAGAGCTCATATGGGCTCAGTGCAGACAGGGAACTAATTTGGACACAGTGAGCCTTCCCCAACCTGCTCTGCTGCTTCTGCAGCTGCGCTAGGTCAGCAGCTGATGTGCTGCACCCTTCAGCACAGTGCAAGGTCAGCTCCACGGTACCCACACCAGCTCCAGCAGCTGACTCTGCCCTGGAGCAGCGTG